TAGCAGAAAGTATAATATGAGAAATTACACCTGAACTGTGTTAGCATATGAATATATTTATAGATAAAAGCAACGAGAGAAGGGCATTGCAGACTTCATACACAGGGGACCATTTTCTTCTGAAACAATTATTTATTTACACCTGAGACAAGAATCTAGAAAATACAATTTAGTTGTAATATAACTCATTAATAAAGCTGTTTATTAATTAAAACCGTTTATTTTTTTTTAACATGTCCTAACTAATTTGAAGAAAGCAAAGTATATATTTACATGATTTTCGGTCAATGAGTGAAGAGGTATTTTTATTGCTGTGGATTTTATTTGCTAAGGCATTAAGTTTAGACAGTTTTAATAAGCCCTATGTTAAAGTCCTCCTGTGATTTGTCCCTTCTCCCACCAATGTTTAACCTATAGGAACAGTTAGATATAAAAGACATATATTGTATTAATGTAGATAAGTATTTCTTAATAAATCATTAAATGTGTGTAGCTCCAGTTAGAGGCACACTATAGCCTTGTTGATTGTCATCTACCTGTCAATCATGGGAAGCCATCAGGTAGACTAGAAATCCTTTTCTCTCTCTGCTTTGGCAGGGAAAGAGTCATTCTATTAATCCTAGCCTTCTTCCCCTTCCAAAGCTAGGAGAGAAAACTTGCCTTCAAATCTTTCAAGAAGCTAGGTGGAAGCTTGATCAGGTGAGTTTGTAACAGGTTCAATCCTCTGTAAGATGCTCATCTTTAGGACACTATTAAGGCCACACCATGTGAGGGCTTCTTTATCCCTCTTCCAAATGTTGGATTTTATTGTTTTCGCTAAAGGACTGAAGTTAAGTTCAAAGATTCTATGCAATTGCGCAGGTATGTTTATCCCTAAGCATTGATACTAATCTTATAAGGGTGTATACTTGTGAGCTACTATGGTGTCACAAAAAGTGCTTACAATTAATTAACTATTTTAAATATAATGGTGCATCAACACATGGAACACATACTCAAAAAACTGTGTGAAAATAAACAAATAAAATATTATATGTGTCGCGCTCCTCAAAATATTGTTTGGTGATTTGTAATATAATATACTGTATAATTAAAATTAATTAAATAAATATAAATGAGTAAATAAATATAATCTCATAATAATATAATATGAATTAAATTAAAACATTCCCAGTGCTATAATTAATTTAATTATAAATAACTAAAAATTATGTATGTAATAATGTGAAAAAATATAATATAATGTGCCATCAAATCAAGTAAACAAAGACAAACCTCTTTGATCAATAATAAATATGTGCAAAAAATTGTGCATGTGCAAAAAAATGCAAATATTGCCCAAAGCAGTAATAAAAAAAGTATATATAATAAAGTGCAATACTCAATTAAATATGGAAAAATAAATAATAATAAAAAACTGTGCAAGTAATGTATTGTAATCACTCCACTTGTGCAACCTGAAATGGTGATTAGGACTATATACTCCTAATCCTTATCTTAGCTGAGATATAAACGTCCCAATCTATGCAGATATATAGAAAGTCTATTGCTGTTACAGTAGACTGTGATGTTGCTTTCCTTCCACTAGATGGCCTCCCAATTCCTTCCGAGTTATGAGGGCTGAGATAGATATAATATTTATAATAAATAAAATAATGATTTAATATATTAATATATATTTATAATAATATTTTAAAATTATTTTTATATTATTGTATTTTTTATTATATAAAATATTTAATATATAGGATAGATATGGGAATCTCCCCTCGTGTAGTTTGGGGTCTATCTCCTATCTCCTCTTCCTCCCCTTTTGCTCCTCCGATTTAGGCCATGAAAAAGAAGAAAGATCCCCACATGGTGCTTATATCCTTTAAAAGAGGTTTTAATACGTCTCCTGACAAATTCAAACTCACATTTCCACAGATCAATACAGAGCGTTTTTTTAAAATTGTGTGCCCGCGCACAAAGACAGTACTCGCCGTTCCTCTGGTAGTGGTGTCGTGACGTCAGAGCCCCTCCCCTACGCGTTACGCCACAGGGTCACGTGGCTTCCTCAGGGGGATGTGATCACACGAAGTAAGCAATGATGTCAGAAGTGACATCTTGCTTACTACTCTGCATGTAATCATTGATTGGCCAATCAGTGATTACATGATCAGGACCTCGCACAGAGGTCCCGTACGATGATCGGTGTTCCACTGTGTCCGGAGGACATAGTGGGCACCAGATCGTGGTGCTGCATGCTCCCAGGGAGCGCGCACAGTCCATAATGGCGAGATGTGTGTGTGTGTGTGTGTGTGTGTGTGGAGATTGTGAAGGCCATGGCAAAACCTTCAGTTTACGCCTCTTGATGTAATCCCCCGTGGATTTCGAGGTGTGTTTAGGATCATCATCCATTTGTAGAAGCCATCCTCTCTTTAACTTCAGCTTTTTCACAGATGGCATCAAGTTACCATCCAAAATTTGCTGAAATTTTATTGAATCCATTTTTCCTTCTACTAGTGAGATGTTCCCTGTGTCACTGGCTGCAACACAACCCCAAAGCATGATTGATCCAACCCCATGCTTAACAGTTGGACAGAGGTTCTTTTCATTAAATTCTGTGCGCCTTCTTCTCCAAACGTACCTTTGCTCATTCCTGCCAAAAAGTTCAATTTTAACCTCATCGGTCCACAGAACTTGTTTCCAAAATGCATCAGGCTTGTCTATATGTTCATTTGCAAAGTTCAAACGATGATTTTTGTGGTGAGGACGTAGAAGAGGTTTTCTTCTGATGACTCTTCCATGAAGACCATATTTGTACAAGTATCTCTTTATAGTGTACCACAACTCCAGTGTCTGCCAGATCTTTCTGGAGGGATCGTGCAGTCAAACGTGGGTTTTCAATCGTTTTTCTCACAATCCTGCGAGCTGTTCTGTCTGATATTTTTCTGATATTTTTCTTGGTCTTCCAGATCTTTGTTTAACTTCCACTATTCCTGATGACTGCCATTTCTTAAATACATTCCGAACAGAGGATATTGACATCTGAAAACGCTTTGCTATCTTCTTATAGCCTTCTCCAGCTTTGTGAGCGTCAACTATTTTCAGTTTCAGTTTCCTAGACACTGCTTAGAAGAACCCATGGTGCTGATTGTTGGGGCAAGATCAGATGAGTTGGGCATTTAAAACCTTTGAGATTGACATCATCTGGTCTTCCCAGATGATGATTGAGAACAATCCATGACACTGGCAGGTCTCAGCTTGGCAAAGGGGCAGTGCAGTGCATGCTATAAATTCTGCAGGGTGCCCAAACTTTTGCAGACGCCATTTTTTGTTTTCTGTTTATTTGAAAAGTGTAAATGATGGAAATAAACTCTAACTTTTGTTGACATATTATAAGAATGTCTAATCTGTAATTTGATGCCTTTTGGAGATTGTTCCATCTTTCCTTGGCTTCTTTATGCACATTAATACAAATTTTTAGCTGGGGTGCCCAAACTTTCGATCCCCACTGTACATAGGGGCACCATTAAAGAACATAAGGAAGCTTACTCTACACCTGTATGACATTGTTTCTGACAACAAGACTACTGGAAGACATGTAGAGTAATACCTCTTTTATGAATGTAATTCGTTCTGCAGGACTTTTCGTATAGCAAATAATTTGAAAAACTGAAACACCGTTTCCAAGAGGAATACACTGCAAACCAATTAATCCATTGCAGAAGTCAGAAAAAAGTAAATGCTACTAAAATACTGCACAAGTTATTTTACAAAGTTATGCAGTATTTCAGTAATGACAACCATGTGTTAATGTTTCAGTTGTCAGTGGTATTCCCCACTGACAGCTGAATGTAAAAGAATTGCCAGCAATTAAAAAATAATTTAAAAAACGGCGTGGGGTCCTCTCTCCAATCCATACCAAGCCCTTCGGGTCTGGTATGGATTTTGAGGGGAACTACCACGCCAAAATTAAAAAAAAAGACCTGCCGTGCTGCATGCTCGGATAAGGGTCTAGTATGGATTTTTGGTGGGAACCCCCATGCCAATTCTTTTTAAATTTCGGCATGGGAATTCCCTTTTAAAATTTTATACCTGACCTGAAGGGCTTGGTATGGATGGGAGGGGGGACACTACACCGTTTTTTTTTTATTTGTTTTGGTGTCGATTTTTAAATGTAATTACTGCTAATTCACTATAGCTCAGAAATTCAGCTGTCACTTTCCCCCCAGCTAAAACAAAGAAATTTTCTTTTAGTTTATTTCCCCGAGTTAAGAGAAACAATATTTTATTTTAGTTTCTTAAAAGAAACAAAGTTTCCATTAACTCCGGGGGAAAGTGACAGCTAATTCTGTAAGCTATAGTGAAGAAAAACAAAAGCCGGCAATTGCAATTAAAAATCAGCACGGACATGCACTTCGCATTGCAGTAAAAATTATTAAAAATTTTGTAAACCGAGCCATTATTTTCAATGGATTTTCATTCATAAACCGAAAATTACATTAACCGAAGCATTTGTAAATTGATGTATTACTGTATGTTATAGCTTCTAAAAGGAGCTTTAAAAATACTCAGAAAAGGGGAACTTTTGAACTAAGAATTCTCTTTAGCAAAAAAAAGTTAGTACCACTCTCACCTCTGCGACACCTCCCCCCCTTCCATTACATAGCCCACTCATTTCCTTATCACATCAACTATACCAGTTTAATTACCATTGCTATATATACTTGTTTTTTTTTTTTCCCAGAGATTGTCGTTTGATATTTTGATAAACCTGTGTGTATTAGTACTGCTTGGACCTTAGAAGAAGGGGGTACAGCTCAAATGCTTGTCCTAAAAAATTTGAATGTTGGTGCAGGTTAAAAAAGGACCACAGACCATACTCAATTGTTTTTTATATGGTAGCAAAAAAGTTAGATACAGAGAGATAATGTAAAAACCTTTTTGTCATAAGTGAACTAAAATTATTCCTTACAGGCCACAGGATAAATGTATTTTCTTCAAGATTGAGTTTCTTATTGCTGTCTTCACATCATTGTTCCTCAAAGTATAAATGAAAGGATTTAAGAGTGGAGTAAGAATTGTGTAAATAAGAGCAAGGTATTTGTCATTTTCCCCCTCCAGTCGGTCTGGTGTACACAACAATAGCTGTTCCAAAGAAGAGACTGGTCACAATAAGGTGAGAGGAACAGGTGGAGAAGGCTTTTTGTTTGCCTTCAGCTCCCTTGATTTTCGAGATGGTGTTAATGATGCGAATGTAAAAAGCTATGATATTTAAAATTGAAACAACTGCAGCAAGAATAGTGGCTATTGTTGTGACTAATTTGCTCATGGATGGATCAGAACAAGACAAATTCTGAAGTGGAGCTAAATCACAGATGAAATGATTTATCTTATTTGGTCCACAGAATTTCAATTGGGCTGTGTACAAAAGAGTCATAGAAGACAATAAAAGACCACCAATCCATGGTGCCACGACTAACAGAGTATACATTTCCTTTCCCATAATAGCAGAATAACGTAAAGGACTGTTAATAGCCAAGTCCCTATCAAAGGCCATGACCAATAACAAATAACATTCTGTCATACCCAAACCATTGAAAATAAACATCTGTGTGAAACATTCAATGACAGATATCCTCTTATTTCCTGAAATCAAATTATCTAGAAGCTTTGGTATAGAAACTGTCACAAGTATAATTTCAAGAACAGCAATTGTACTTATGAAATAGTACATTGGAGTTTGAAGCAAGGGCTCAATCCTAACTAAGATGATGATGGTGATATTTCCTGTAACACAGATGATGAATGCTACTAAAATCAAGAAAAACAGTAATAACTGGAGCTGTTTTAAACTGGAGAATGCAATTAAAATAAATTCTTGCACCATGGTCCTATTGAATTCTTGTTTTATAGAGTAGAATCCCTGTAAAAGGAATACAGAGAAATGTCATTAAAGGGGCTTTACAGACCCCACATTTTGTTTTTGATGGGTTTGAGCTTAAAAAGGTTGTTGTGTGTGGGGCTGTATACCAGTCAGGGTCCCCATGCTGACTCGTGTCCACAGCCAAAAGCACCCACAAGCATCAGAACAGAACCAAGGAGCAATGAAGGAAGGTGGGCTGGTCTGGTGAATTCAACAGTGGTTTGAGCACCACAACAACGTGTTTGTAGTGTTGCCTCCAGATTCTCCAGATCTCAACCCATAAAGCAACTGTGGGATGCACTGAAAAAAGAAGTCCAATCCGTAGAAGACCCACCTCACAACTGCTGCTGATGGCTTGGTGCCAGATACCACAGTGGAGTCCTCTCCTCATCGGGTTATGGTGGGTGGTCTCAATGTTAAGGCTGGTTGGTGTATTACATAATATATTCATATAATGTATCTTCAAACTGAGGTTCCTCACAATTCTAGTTTATATACAGTAGCAGGGAGTAATTTGAAGGTGTTCTTCACCAGTTCTTTTCTGGGGACTCCCTGCTTAAGCAAGCAATCAATGGGAATGTGATGGAAACATGCCTTGTGTTCTCATGTATGAATTTCTGTGATTGCATGGATTACTATTACTATTTACTGAGTTGTTTCATAACACAGTATATACTTACAAGGAAATTCTCAGCATAGTCCAAGTAAAAACACGATGCACAATAGCAAAGCATACAATGACCACTTAGTCAATGAACTAGCAGGAAGTGTAATATGAGAAATTACACCTGAACTATGTTAGCATATGAATATATTTATAGATAAAAGCAACGGGAGAAGGGCATTGCAGACTTTATACACAGGGGACCATTTTCTTCTTAAACAATTATTTATTTACACCTGAGACAAGAATCTAGAAAATACAATTTAGTTGTAATATAACTCATTAATAAAGCTGTTATTTAATTAAAACCGTTTATTTTTTTTTTAACATGTCCTAACTAATTTGAAGAAAACAAAGTATATATTTACATGATTTTCTGACAATGAGTGTAGAGGTATTTTTATTGCTGTGGATTTTATTTGCTAAGCCATTAAGTTTAGACAATTTTAATAAGCCCCATGTTAAAGTCCTCCTGTGCTTTGTCCCTGCTCCCACCAATGTTTAACCTATAGGAACAGTTAGATATAAAAGATATATACTGTATTAATGTAGATAAGTATTTCTTAATAAATCATTAAATGTGTGGAGCTCCAGTTAGAGGCACACTATAGCCTTGTTGATTGTCATCTACCTGTCAATCATGGGAAGCCATCAGGTAGACTAGAAATCCTTTTCTCTCTCTGCTTTGGCAGGGAAAGAGTCATTCTATTAATCCTAGCCTTCTTCCCCTTCCAAAGCTAGGAGAGAAAACTTGCCTTCAAATCTTTTCAAGAAGCTAGGTGGAAGCTTGATCAGGTGAGTTTGTAACAGGTTAAATCCTCGGTAAGACTTTCATCTTTAGGACACTATTAAAGGCCACACCATGTGAGGGCTTCTTTATCCCTCTTCCAAATGTTGGATTTTATTGTTTTTGCTAAAGGACTGAAGTTAAGTTCAAAGATTCTATGCAATTGCGCAGGTATGTTTATCCCTAAGCATTGGATATGCAATTCAGACCATTTGAAAGGGAAGGTACAGTATGTGTCACTGTGGGGAATGAGAGACTGAGATATTTAGGGCTTCCGACTTGGATATATTAATTGTAAAATTGGAAAGAGTGCAGTATTGGTACAGTTCTCAAAAGAGGGTAGGTATTGAGATAGGAGAGATGAGAAAGAAAGTGAGATTGTTTACAAAAGCAGCAACTTTATGACTGTCTGAATGAGCCGGAAGGCCAGCAATGTCTATGTTGGCCCATATAGAATATAGGAAGGGCGCCAAGGATAAGCTGAAAATTAGTTGTAAAGGGGGTAGCATGCCTTGTACCATTTGTACCATACTGATGGAGAAAAAATGCATAAATCTATTCATTCACTTTCACACAAGGCTGTAGATTTGGAATAAAGGGCCTTCAACCAAAGTTGCATGTGGGGGCCTAAACCAATATGTGATAGGGTAGTCTGGATAAAGTCCCAGCTAACCCTATCAAAGGTTTTTTCTATGTCTGTGGAAATGAGAACCAGGGGGATTGATTTGGCTTGTGTTAGGTCGCATCAAGGACCCTTAGAGTATTGTCCCTTGTCTCATGTTCAGGGACAAAGGGAGACTGGGCAGATTGCTCAGAGAGGTGTTGTGTCTGTCCTGGACATTACCCATCCTCCATGTGTATATCAGGCAGTAATCATCAAAAGTTTTCTGAAGTCTGGTGCAAGGCCGAGTAAAACAGGTGGGATTAAAGTCAGGAAAAAAACAGCAAAGGGTCAAGTTACATTACAGGACCCCCCCGCCCCCCCCGATAAGCATTGCCTTCTTTGTGTTGATAAAATGTGATCTCAAGATAAGGTTCTAAGGCAAGTACCTGCTTATTAAGTAGGTACAAGCAGGCTGGGGTAGTTTTTCATTGATATAGTAGACCCTTAAGCTATAAAGAGTCTGCTGTCCAATATGGTGCAAATATTTAAAAAGGGGGTCAAAATCTTTACCAAGTAATTATAGACCTGTTAGGATTTAACTTCTATAGTTGGGAAGATACTGTAGAGTTTAATAAAAGACCACATAGATGAGTTCTTGCTGGAAAAAAATATTTTAAGCAACAGACAGCATGGATTAATGAAAGACAGAAGTTGTCAAACAAATCTGATTTCTTTTTATGAGAGGTGAACAAAACCTTGGACAGAGGGTTGGCGGTGGACGTGGAATACTTTGGATTTTGCAAAGGCGTTTGACACAGTTCCCCACATACGGCTAATGTGTAAGGTAGAGTCTACTGGCTTGGAAAAGTCTGTATGTAAATAGATAGAAAACTGGCTAAAAGATCGTATTCAAAGAGTAATGGTTAATGATTCATACTCTGAATGGTTTAGGTTGTCAGTGGTGTACCCCAAGGTTCAGTGTTGGGACATTTAATTTTTAAACCAAACCACACTCCCATCTGGACCGTTGTATATAAATGGACGGTCGGTTGGCAGTGCAGGGTCAGGTGGCCGTTTATAAACGGCCTTCCCACCCCCTGCTTGTGCGCACTCCCTGGGAGTATGCAGCACCGCGATCCGGGGCCCACTGTGTCATCGTTTGGACCTCTGTGTGCGGTCCCGATCATGTGATCACTGATTGACTAAACATGCAGAGTAGTAAGCAATGATGTCACTTCTGACATCATTGCTTACTACGTGTGAAATCAGTGACTGATCACAGAGGTCACATGGTACAAGGCTATTCACACAACAGCCTTGTACCATGTGACAAGCTGTGACCAACCACAGCTCACACAGTAGTTCTCAATGGCCTGCAAGAATGCAGCCAGAGAGAAGGAGAAATTATTGCTTTTACAGCCTTTATGCATGTAAAAGCAATCAGTGTAAAAAAAAAAAATCTTCATCAACCCCCACAAGTAGTATAGTGTCACCATGGTGACACTGCACTGCTAGGGTGACAGTATGTAAAAAAAAAATATATAATAAAATAAAAAAAATATTTTTTTTTTAAAATGTTTTAAAAATTAATATTTTTTGGTTGTAAACTAATTTGGGTTTATTTATTTATTTTTTTTACTAAAAAGATAACAGAATACATTTTGGCCAAGATTTAGGATGAAAATATTATTTATTTTCAAAATTTTTATATGAAAAACACTTTTTTTCTAAATTTTTGGACTTATTCATTTACATAGAAAAAAAGAATAAATACCACCAAATAAAGCTTTATCTGTCTCAAAAAAATGCTAAAAAATTCATATGGGTACAGTGTTGCACAACCGACCGCGCAATTGTCATTTTAAAGTGTGATAGCACTGAAAGCTGAAAATTGGCCTGGGCAGGAAGGGGATAAAAGTGTCCGTACTTGAAGTGGTTTAATATATTTATAGACGATATAGGGTCTGGGATTAAAAATCCCATTTCAGTCTTTGCAGATGAACACCAAGCAAACCAAACAAAACCCACAAGCTGTGCAGTGGAATAACGTCCTTACAGGATGTCTTCAATTTACAAGCCGACCTCAATGCACTGTTTAATTGCGCAACTATGTGGCAAATGAGGTTTAATGTTGATAAATGTAAGGTT